ATAGACACAGATTGTTAAACCGCGGTAGCACCAAAAACCCGTAGAGTGAGTGACGAAAAAGAGAGAGCGTGTTCAGAGGCCAGAGAGAAAGAAGAACAGGAGAGAGAAAGAGAGAGAGAGCGAGAGAGAGAGAGAGAGAGAGAGAGGCGATAGAGCGGTGAGAAACTGACCGGAAGTGAATGGAAGCTCGAGAAGAGCGAGAGCGGGAGAGAGAGTGAGGGAGAGGTAGAGCGAGGTTGAGAGAGAGGTAAAGAGAGAGAGAGGTAGAGAGAGAGATAGAGAGAGAGGGTGCGATAGTGTGACAAAGTTTCATGCAGTTAAACATTCATACTACAACCTCAGCGCAAACCGATTTATTCGCTCAGTGATGCATCGCTTTTACGTGTGCATGCAATATCGGTGAATAGCACTGTAGAGATAGGCGAATTTTCGGGGGCGTCGAGGAGTTCATGATGAAGGTTGGCTGTTGCGCCGAACGTCATCAAGTTGATGGGGTCGCCGGGTAGGTAGATGAGCTATTCCTGAAAATTCATAAGTTTCAGAAACGGCCTGGTCGGCCCTACGTTTGGCCGATTGCTGCGACTGGGAGGCGTCGGACTCATCGGGGGGCGCCTCGGGGTTGGAGATGGGGGCCACGTCGAGGTCGACGACGGCGGCACCGGCGCCGACGTTCATCTACAAAGACATCCAACTCGTCGTGTAGAAAGGATCGAGCGTGACTCCGACAACACGGACAAGTTCAAATTCGATAGAAACAAGGTATATTTGGATTTTTAGGACAGCGTAGGTGCAAGCCGAAGGCAAAGCTCTACTTTGACGACTTCGACAAGTTTAAAAAAAGAAAAGAAGAAATGCGCGGATTTTTGGGTTTTAGACATTTCGCCGCGGTCGGCCAACTCTCAACTTCGGCAAGTTCAGAATGGAGGGAAAATCGTTGTTCAAAATTGGGAAAGGAGTTTGGAATATTGAACCCGATTTCGACAAGTTCAGAATCGATCGAAAATGAAAACTTCACAAGTTCGAAGCAAAGGTCGACAACTCCGACAAGTTCAAAAGTCGAGAGCCTAAACCGACCATATCGTCGACGACGGGCTTCTTGGAGTTGTTGCCCCCTCTTCTTCTTTTTCAGGCAGCAGCACAGCACGATGATGACGACGATGATGATCAGCACCAAGGCTCCGACAAGCGCTGAAATTTTATTGTAGTTGATAGCTTTGCCAAATTCATCCCTTACCAGCCACCAAAGTGAGCTCATCGCTCATCAGCGTGTCCGGCTCCTTCGTCGTGGTGGGCGTCGTCTTGGCCGTGGTGGTGGTGGTGATCTTCTTCGTGCTGGTCGTCGTGCTCACGTCGGAACAATGATACTGAAGGTGATGAGCCGAGATTTTCTAGCGGCGCGTACCAGTTTTTTGGCCTCGTCGTCGAGGTCGTAGCACGGCTTGTAGACGACGCACGCAATCCCGTCGACTTCCTTGTCGTAGCGGAGCACGTTGTCGCGCCACTCCGGCTATTTTTTGTTTGGTTTTTTATGTTTTTTTAGTACTATGGATAAGGCTTCATTAGGAAAAGCTTCATCGGACCACCCACCTCACGAGGGGACGTGTTGCCCCGACAGTTCGGAATCGGGTTGCACGGTGGTGTGAGGGCCCACGGGTCCTTCAGCCTCGAGTTCTCCTCGCTACACCAGTCGAGTTTTGCCTGAAAGATTAATCGGTTCTTTGGCATTAACGGGGGGCATTTGGCATGTTCCAATACAAAAAACAATCGCATTCGCAAAAACTTTACAAATGTTTATTAAACTTTTTAATTTTCTTTTAACTAAGCCTTTATAATTTCGTTGTTTGGATTTATGAGCGTTTTCCCTTGGCATAAAGTACAAGTTTACTAAAAATACTAGACATTTCCAGACGCAGATAAGAAGTTAGGTTTCCGAGCTGGGACGCCCCCCGATAAGGGCAAAGTGCCAAATTTTTTTTTTGAGATTTTTGGCATCTCCCGCTCTCGCTAACTCTCTCTCTCTCTCTCTCTCTCTCTCTCTCTCTCTCTCTCAGTACCGTAACATCAAGGACACCAAAGTAGTCCTTCTCGGGATTGCTGGGGATTGCTCGACAGCTGGGCTCCCGGGTAAGCCCTCGTCCGTTCTCATTCGGAGGGCAAATGTCCATGCACGGGGCGATCATCCCCTGTTCGTTCAGCGGCTTCAGGTATTTCTCGCTGTAATTGGTGGTGGTTAGTGACAGCAATCAGTAGCTGGAACGTACTCATCGTGGATTTTCGGCTCGGTGAGCTTGCAGAACGGCGGGATCAAGCAGGGCCAGCTGGCGACGTTCTGCGGTTCGCTAGGGTACGCGTGCGGGTCGGAGCACCACTAAACGGGGTAGTACGGTAGGTGAAGTGCGTAAGATCTCCTGCTCAAGCGCATGCAGGCATACAAATTAAGCCGAAAAGGAACAGTAAAAATTAGCATGGAGCAACAGAGAGGGCCGTAAAACGACCCACCGGTTTGTACATGCCCTTGCCGAGGATGTAGCGCTTCAGGACGGTCGGGTAGCAGATCCGGGTTGCAGATGGATCGCTCTGTAGCTCCCTAACAGAATATTTTTCGAAATCGAAGCCCTATTAGTTACGCGGGAAATTCGTTGCGTTCGCCGCACCAGCCCGTCTCGTAGCAGCCAAAGCGCAGATTCATCGATTTCATCGCCAGTTCCATCGGCGTCTGGAAGTTCAGTTCTCTCGCTCTCTCTCGCTCTCACTCACTCTCTCTCTCTCTCTATCTCTCTCTCTCTAATAAACTGACCTTATCGGGGAAGTGGGTCTCGTTGCAGGTAGGGTTATACGTTGGGTTTGGCGGGTAGAAGATGAACACTTGCGGGTCCGAGTCCCGTCGGTCGCGCGTACGCAGCCGGATGCGCTTCACCGGGGCTGCTGACGGAGGGACTGGCCTGCTACTGTCGGCTGGTGGCCGCTGCGTCGACGGAGGGTCGATCGTCTGGCTTGCAAAGGCCTGCAAAGCTCGTATTGAACGGGGAAAGGCAGGAAACGGCGTAGCGTACAGGGTGTCCAAAAAAACGAACCATCTGACATTTCGCCGTATTACATCCAATCGGTCCCAAATTTGGACCAGATGTGTATCAGACACTAAATAACGCCAATCCTGACTTACAGCCCCATATTTACAGTAGTTTTAAAGTTGTAGCGAAAATACTGTTTTTCCCGCAATTCAAAACAGTTTTTGCGGCTATCTTTTTGGACCTTGCATCGATTTGCATCGACTTCCTGCTGCGAATCCTAATTTCAATTAAGAGCTTGGGTATTTTTGCGTTGTAAAAATCGCTTAAATCGGAGCTTATTTGATTAATGTCAGTCCGGAAAAATTTCTTAAGGTAAAGAAGGCTTGCGGAATCCTTTTTGCTTAATGTTTAGGGGGTCTAATTCTGCGAAAACCCGATGAAAATGGAAAATAAAGTTTGGTTTTGGTTAGAACTCGAAAATACTATAACTACTGGGTTGTAAATCAGGAATGGTGTTATTTAGGATCTGATACACCTCTGGTCCAAATTTGGGACCGATTGGATGCAAAACGGCGAAATGCCAGATGGTTCATTTTTTGGGACACCCTATATGGCTGGTTTTGTGGCTGGGGGGTCCTGGACTCTTTCTTCAGCATCTCTATCAGGGCCGATAAAGTAAGAGTTCAGTTTTCGTCTTGCTCTGGCGAGTATTTTGGTATACTTTACACACCTGTAGATGAACAGGGAGCCGAGATACAAAAGTTGGGTGCCGGCTGAGGGGGGTAAACTGCACTTAAGCCCTGAACTCACCCATGTTGGGTGATCCTCGCTGATTCGTGGGTAACCGTTGATGAGGTGGTGGTATCGGCAGTTCGGATTCTCGCGGTCCGAGAAACAGAAGAGCTTGCACGATGGATGCGTCGAACCCTTCTCCCAACATCGTTGACAATCCTGGTGATCCTTCCATTCGGCAAGATCGCAGCGCAGGCACCACGGATCGCTCGCTTCGCACTGGAAGGCAGGAAATTGACTACAGTGGTTTTTGGCAGTGTTACTGGCTGGCAAGTCTCTAGTTACCCTAGAAGCCGATCTTACGATTAATTTTTTTCTAATATCAATTGCGTCAGCGTTTCTGCACTGTTTTTACTATACTTCGCCCGCCACCCTGGTGGGCCCCTCCTAAAAGGTGGGCAGGGGTGGTGGTGGAGGGTGGGCAGAGGGTGGGCGCCGGGGGTGGGCAGAGGGTGGGGGGTCGGGGTGGGAGAGGACCCCACCCCCGCCAAGGGAAGCCATCAAATCTACAGTCGAGAAAATAGATCACATAGGTAATGAAGCTGTTTATAGTGTCTTAGTCAGTAATTTTTTTATTGCTAAAAAGGTACATAAAATTCTTAACAAATTTGACCCTCTTTGGCCATTTTTCATACATTTTTGATCAAAACGCCAATATTTTTCGTAAATTTTTATAATTCTGACGAATTTTTGTACCGCTTTCTACTATAGAATCCCGGTGGTTCCATTTTCTCCAATCACCCCAGGGGAGGAGTTCTCTTCGAGAAAATTTTTTGCTTTTGGAAAAAATTTGTGGGGTTTTATTAAAGGAAATTCGCTCTCTACAATTCTCCAAATGATATAAAAATGGTTGTTATAGGACCATACGGTTCTATACTGTCAATAAACTTGGTTAAAGGCTAGCTTTTTCGCTAGTATTACAGTGGGGTGGGCGTCCAGGGTGGGTGGGGGGTGGGGGGTGGGGGTGGGGTGGTCGCCTCCCCACCCCACCGCCACCCCAACCCCCCACCCACCCCCGGCGCCCACCCTCTGCCCACCCCGCGCGCCCACCTTTCCCCACCCTTGGGGTGGACCCACCAGGGTGGCGGGCGAAGTATAGTTTTTACTATGCTTAACCGTCAAATATTACAAAAGTTAGAAAATCTTTGTTTTTTAGGCGAAAAACGAGTCGTAATACTAAAATTAAAAAATACCAGGGTTGAAAGGCCGCTACGCGGCTTTTCGGCGGGGACCTTTAATATGCGGACACTTTGCAAAAATTTTACGATTTACGTTAGGGATCCGAGCACCACAGGAATTAAGTGAACAACCGTCTTCGAGCCCGGCAAAGCCCAGAAGGCGCCGAATCAATTCTTGTATGTAAATTAGTCTATTTCCATACCAGTGGAAAAAGACCGCTTCGCGGCCATTTTCCACTGGACCCGTCCAGGAACCATGAACTTGAACACCTTCGTTTTTAGCCTGCAGCGCTAGTTACTGGTTTTTCGCCAGGATTTGGCCTGCGGCGCGAGAGCCCGAGCCAGGGACCTTTTCTTTGGCCTGCGGCGCTAGAGCCAGAGCCAGGCCTATAAACCTCGCACACCGAGAGCCTAGAAATATGTTTTGTTGCCGAACTACCAAAAAGCAAAAAATTGAATCACCCCGGGATCCGAACTCACGACCCTGCACGTGGTAGACCGAGCGCTAATCCATTACACCAAGGGGCCCACGGGAAGGGGATGAGGGAAAGGCCTCTTCGGTCCTGGGGAGGCCGGTGCAAAGATAAGGATGACCAATGAACCCGGAGGGAGGCCTTCTGCTCACTGTACAAAATTTTCTATGCAAAGTGTCTACACACACATCAACTATTTTTTTATATATAGTAGTATTTTGGCGGAAAGGGCTGCAAAAATTGTTCACCAACAACGTGTATTACCATTGTGC